ATCGCGTCAGTCTTGTAGCTCATTTATTAAGTAGATGCCGCTGCAGATTCGCACTGAATCACTTATATTCCATATGAACGTGTGCGATTAATTGAATGATGATGAAGGGAAAAAAAATCAACAGAATGACTACAAGTTGCACCTAGTCAGTTCGCTATGTGTGCGTTGTTTTTATCTCTCTCTTCTCTCTTTTTGAGCCTCTGTCAATTGAAACACCTTGCTTGCCGCACTTTAATCGATTTCCGTCATCAATGCAACGCGATCGGCAGCGAATGCCGCATAGAAGTGCTTTTAATTACAGTCTTTTCACGTCAGAAAAAAAAATTAATGACATGAAACATATTTATGAGTGATACTCACACACACGAAATGGAAAAAAAATTCACCGATTAATTGACAGCAGCGGTTCAATCGAAACAAGTTGGCTCTTCCGCAATCACATTAAGATGCACGGAAATCAATGGCATGTCTCTGTTATTCATTAATTACATCGTGACAATTCTAACAGAAAATCGCCGATTTTGAGTTACAACCAACCGAACAAAACAAGCGAAAACAATAAAATTGGAAAGGCTACATATGACCTTGCTGCAGTTGCACAATTTCCATAAATTTTGTGTGTCAGAGTGCGTCGATCTGCCAAGCTCAAATGGTTGTTGACCGCTCATAAAACAATTCTAAATGCGTTTGTTTGTTTTTTTCGCTACCAGTCAATCCATTCAAAGCGAACTTTTTTTGCCAATGTTAATTTTCTTTTGTCATTTTCAACTAATTGCAAGTGCATTCGAATCACGACAACATTGTTAACTGACTCTAACTTGTTGCTTTTTTTCATGATTAGTTACGCGTTTTTCATTTCTACAACGTCAAAATGAATGAAAAAAACACAGCCAACACATACATGTCTTCTATGCCAAAGCGATGGATGTTTTTTTTTGTTATAAATTAAACGCACGACTAACGTGCGGCTTTTTTCTCTGTCTCTCTTTCTTCGCATCTAAAAAACAATGTATACACCGTGTATACATATATATGTTTTTTTTTGCCATCGTAAAATTGCATAACGAAATAATTGCTTTTTTGTACGAAAAAAAATAACATAAAATAAATAATTCAAAGTCGTCGACCAGTGCATGGCACGTTTCATTGTTTTGTTATGCATTTTTTTGTTCGTTCGCTTTATCTTTATTAATACGAAGCACAATGGAAATGAGAGGAAAATCGGCTCGAACGCAAACCAATGTGGGAAAAATTCCCATTAATGTGTGTGTGTGACTGGTGTTCTTTTTCTCTCTGACTCATGATACGTTGCATCGATGGTGCAATCGTCCAAATTGTGATTTCATACTATGAAACCAAAACGAAAACAATTTAGTATTCTTTTTAGCACAGTGACTTGGGGATCGTAGTTCCACTTTTTGTTGTCCGAGTTTGTTACTTCAGTTTGTCGTGCCTTTGACTAATCAAAACAATGTCACATACTGTCTGATAACGACCGAGAAAAAACCTCAGAACAATGCCGATAAAAGTAAATACAATGTCCATTAAACAAAAGCATTTCATTCGCCAAAACTATTTGCCAGCCACTACCACCACAATTTCAAGCGCTGAAATGGTTGCACAATGAGTTAAAAATGATATTAACGTTTTATGAATACATTTTTGTGGGTATTTATGAATTTTACAACTACTGAATATATCAATTCTTAATAGTTGTTCGAACTTTATGACCGCCGCCGCTGTTGCTGCGGCTGCTGCATCGTTGCACTGGCAGTGGCCAGAAAAAGTATGCGCAAAAGAGAATGAATGTAAGCTTGTAAACAAAAATCATAGTAGAAATAAAACAGCAGCCACAGCAATCATTGTTGGCAGCACAGTCCTCTCGTAAGTACGTTCGCACGAAGCGTGAGCACACGTTTACTTGCCACATTCAATTGATGTTAATCAGATGAAATGGAAAACAAGCGCCTTCAAACCATTCTTAGAGATGACGTATGTGTACGCCATTAATAAAAGCCATTTTTTACATTATTAAAAGGTCAACATTTTTGGGACTTTTATTCGGCATTCAATCATTTTATTCAGTCGCATCTTCAATTCTCGCATGAATCAGAGCACCCGAAAAACGAATGCTACTGTACGAACGCCAATGTATCTATATTGAGCTTGATAAAATCGAAGCAGTAAACGAAGCAGCCGATTTCATTATGCAAGAGCATCGATTTGGAAAATCGTATAATCGATTAAATATCTGAAATGGTGCGTATTCACCTCAATTGCCCCTTGCCTCAAGCCAATGATACTTGAACACTCGAACCGAACAACAACAACCAAACACATAAATTGTAAACGCATTCGTTTGTATAAATTACTCTGAATTTGCATGGACGATTCAAATGAAATCGAAAAAAATACACATTGTGCCACGCCGTTTGGAATAATCGTACAATTTATTAACACACGAACGAGAGAGAGAAAAAAAAACCACAAGCGCTTTACCACAAAAATGCAGAGATTTAAGAATAAACTGTCATATTTATTGGCATCGCATTCGTTATGGCAATAGCCAGCCACTCAGCTTTGGTTTTGTTTGCCTGACGGCTAAATAAATGTACGTAATTTGTTGCTGCTGCGGTTCATTTGATTGGGCTAAAATGTACATGTCGATTCACTCAATTACTCAGTCTGGTCACATACAAAAACACATTCTTTGTTTCGATTTAAAACAATTACTACTTCGAATGGGAAGAGCCAAAAATGAGCCTCATTTAAATTTAAATTTGATTTTCAGTTTTCATTTGAAACGTCTACTTTTATTGATTTCTCCCTGGCCTAGCCATACACACAGATGAAAAAATCAAAACAACAAAACATCAATTAACGATGATTTGCGATTGGCATGAAAATATATTCATTCGGTCGAGACAAATGGCAAAAACACGCACATCGCGCTGTCAACAACAATAATCAGAATTTTTCCAATCAATAAAAATCACTTTCGTGTAAATTGGCAAAAGAATTGACAGCAACAACGAAGGCACTGAGAGAGACAGGCAGAAAGAGGGAGAGAGAAAGATTGCGAGTGAAAAAAAAACGTTATGTAAAGTGTGTTGAGACGAGCATAATAGTTGAGTTTTATTGTAATGTGATGGCTTCGACGATGTAATCGATTAATAGTGCTTGTGAGCGTATAATAACGATGATTATCGCTCCGACAGTAAAAAAAAGCAATGAACGCAACTATTATGTAATTTTGTTTTGATGCAAAAATCCAGATAGGAGGATTCAATCTGAATTACAGAAGATGAAAAAATGGTAAACATGTCGGTTGGCAGACAGAGAAACAGTGCCAGCATTATCGATTACAGCAATTGTAATTGAGGAGGTGATTTCATACTTCAACACAATCTCTCACTCACTTTAGAGGTATGTGACAAGAGATAATGTGACAATACATTTGGGTTAACGAAATTGTTTGAATTTTCCGGGCCGAATTTATCGACGAGAGTGGTTTTGCTTGAAAACTAGGCCCTAGAGAATAGCTATAAGGATTGATGGCCCTGGCAATGCTTGAACATTCAATTAAATCGATTTGATCATTTTCGTAATCTACAATTTTTACTTCAAGCCAACTAAATCCATTAAATATACAAAACACACATCTGCGATTGTCTCATTCAATAAATGGACTCAAAATGATTGTCTCATTGTATAACGGATTCAAATAATGTCTGAACACACATTATTCAAATAAACTCGAAATTAGCTTCGAATTTCAGTTGACAAACATCCCAATAGGTTGATTACTTTCTCTCTCCCCCTTCGCGAGAATATGAAATGTGAAAAAAATTCCATCACACGCGTGTACTTACTCGAACTTCTATGAGGTTTACAAATTGCGATACGCTTAATCTAACCAACACAAAAACACGATGTTTATCATTTAGCTGACTTAAGCTGTGCCTGTTGGTTCTTATCACTCACTCTATGCAGTGATAGCTCTTGTACAATAAAACAATTTCGAACAACTATAAATTACAATTTTCTATTTCTTTTCTAATGAGTGCAATTTCCCTCCTTTTCCGAGAGAAAAGAAGAAGAAAACATTCGTGAAGTGATCGAATTAGTATTTCCATTTTCATTCTTTGTCATGTATGTAATTTGTTTAAATCGGCTATTTCGGCATTACCATTGGAAATTCAGTCTGATAACAGCAAATCGACTTAAAATTCCAAGTATTTATACCTTCCTTTTAAATTTGTGATTCGAATGAGTTCGTTGCTCATCTCGACGAATTGTTTTGCATTTGGATATGTAATAAATAATTGAACGAGCCGTTCACATCGCGGTGATTTGCATTGCAATTTCGATTGTGAAACACAAAGCCGTTGCAGACTGCCGATGGTAATGTTCTTATGAAATATGGATGACTGTTTCACACGTTTGAAAATCTCTCCTACACGATGAATAATTTGTGCATACAGATTGTAAAAGTGGACTTGAATCTATCGCCAATCGACGGATTTACCGTTATATGCCGATGTGTCGGTGGTGGTGGTGAAAGGAGCTGAGGCTTAAATGCGGCTGCACAAAAAAATTAGCCATGGTAATGGCAGTCAGAAGACTTTAAAAATAGAAATCGCTCCAGATAACAATGAAGTCGAAATATTTCGTCTCTATTGAGCGTTTAATTTTGTTTTCTTCGTTTCTTTGGTTTGTGTGCCTAAATTTAAATTTTATGGGTGTATTCTTGTCGCATCGAAATCTCGCCTATTTTTACATTGTTTGCCTCTGTGTGACAAAGCGTTATGGTAACACTCGTTTGAATGATAAGATTACAGTTTCGAACAATTGGCCGTATTAGACGCGAATGACGTGAACCGAGATTTATGTAATCGACCGATTCCCAAAACAAAAACCCAAACCGTACTTTAATAGACAAATAAAAATTGATGAATTTACATTCAAAACTAATTATCTTTTATTGTTTCTCTTTATAGGATCAATACAGCTATGGATCGATTGCTCATCAACAGCAACCACAAACGATTGGCAACAACAGAGTCGCTCAAACCATGCGAAACTCAGTTAGCTCAATAAACATCAATGCCAACGGTGAGTTGAATGAAAATATTTGAATCAATTCAATCCCAAATTATAGACGATGGAAATAAAATTGGATTTTCTCTCTTTCTTTATCTTTGTGTCGATTAGTATTGCACACACTCCCGAATGGTGTGTCGATTGGACCAGATGCTCAATTACTCCAAAATCAAATTGCCGTGATCCAGCAACAGCAACAGCAGCAACAACAGAAGATGTTACACAATGCTCTCACACGAACCATTTCACATCAGCCGACCAACAGTGACTTACAATTGTTGCAATCAAATCTCGAAGCGATTTCATCGAGCGAATGCCATCGCAAATTGGAGAGAACCCAATCGGAGCCAGCACCACAAGTCAATTCACAAGTGAACACATCCAGGTAAGTAAGCTGGTGTTTGTATATTTTTATCAGCACCTGATCGAAAACGATTTTGCGATTACAATGTAATAATTTCCGCATTTTCTATTTCATTGTTGTCTTTTATTTAGATACAAGACAGAATTGTGTCGCCCATTCAAGGAAACTGGCGAATGCAAATATGGAGAAAAATGTCAATTTGCTCACGGCGAAAATGAGTTGCGTAATGTTCAACGTCATCCAAAATACAAAACCGAATACTGTCGCACATTCTATGGCGTTGGTTTGTGCCCATACGGATCACGTTGTCACTTCTTGCACGATTTGTCCGACAACGATGACAACAATACACGTCCACACGGAAATCGTGCCAATGGCAATCGCAATGAAAATTCAGCCGCCGCCGCCGCATCGGCCCCACATCCAACAACAAATGCTGGCCGCCAATTCATTGGCAACAACAAAGATGATTCAATTCGTATGGCTGCACACTCGAACGGTTTCGGACGTAGCATTACGTCGGCTGAAGTTGATGCAATCACAAAAGCTGCCCGTTTCATTGGCACCGGCAAAGATGAACCAATGCCAATTGCAAACCGTACATTTGGCCGCAGTGCATCCATGATGAACACCAATGCGGTTGCATCCGTTGGAGCTATGCATCCATTGCCGATGAGCCCACCACTATCGATGTCAACCGGTTCGGATCGTGCCTCACCAATTTGCTCGCTCAGTCCAACCAATTCGATTGCCAGTTTCCCATTCACCGATCCCAGCCTATCGTTCGGTGTGAACAATTTGAACAACGGTATCTACACATCGGGATCATTGCACATTACACCACCTGCTTCTCCACCAGTCATGATGACTGTGACACCGCCACCAACGCCGGTTATCACCGCTGCTGCCGTTGCAGCCAATAACAACACCACCAAAAACGCTGGTGTCAATGGCGACAAACCACGTTTGCCCATTTTCAATCAAATCAGCTGCGCCAGCACCATTGACGCCCTCAAAAATTTACCATTGTAATTCACTAATGCAATATTCGATTGGGCCGCATGACACAACGCACGTGTGAACACTTCAATCTAAAGAGAGAGAAAAAACGAAAAGAAAGACCAACTATTGATTATACACATAATAAGTCAACCAAACAAATCAAACAAACGAACCTATTTGCTATTGCTTCGGTCAAGCGCAATGCTTCTCTTTTTTTGATCCGTTTATTTTTGTTCTCTGTATTTTCTTCTTCTTTTTTGGGCTGAACTGATATCGCACAAAATAATATCGACTATTTTGTTTGTACATAAGTTTGCACACCATTACACAATGTATACGCGTCAAATGAGAGTAAGGAAAATTATGCCCCAATCTGCATCTGCACAATTTTTGATTCAAGTTTTTTTTTTTGCTGCAAGAGTTCGTTTTACTCGTGACTTTATTAATTTAATATCTAATTTAAAGATTTTTCTTAGTTATTATTATTTACTTATACATTTATATTTCTTCCCCCGCTAATTTAAAACAAATCATTTATTTTGTGTTTTTCGCTGAAAAAAAAATCGAAGAAAAAAATGTACTGCATTCTTTCCCAAGAAAAAGCAAATGGTATTCTTCAAAAAGAATATTCGCCAATTTTGAATAGAGAACACATATCAATTGGTTAATTAATTTGTATCAGTAGTGGATTAATTTGATTAACAAATCACACGAATAGCATAGGGAGTGTAGAGAAAGGATGAAATGAAAAATAACAACCTCAAAAATTAAATGTGATTTTCAGAGATTCATTCGCTTGGCTTGTTGTGCTCGTCTCATGGGGTTAAATCATGGAATACATCTTCAGATGAACACACCTGCAACCTTATGAGCTACACCAAGCAGAAGCAAGTGAACTTGTCTCTGGTGATTTAAAACTTCCTTTCCTCTTCGATGTCATCTTATTTCAAATACGCATTAAAGCACCTTTTTTTATATATATTTATTTAAATAATATCGATTTCATAACAAGAACAACAACCTCAAAAAGAAGAAAAACGAAGTGAAAAATGTTACAGAAAATCAATCTGTATTCAAAATTCAGCAAAATAGACAAAAAAGACAACAACAAAATCATTCAGAAAAAAGAAAGAAAACGAGAAAAAAATCTTATTTGTAGTGCTTTATATCATTATCATCATTAATTAATTAATATTATTATATTTTTTATATACTATGTAACTAATTTATATTGAAACAAACAACAAACCGAAAAAACTTTATTATGAACAGATAATTCAGTGGAAATCTAATTCAAAGAAAAATGTGCATACAAAAAATTCTTCCAAATTGCTTATAAGTGAGTGAAAATTTTAAAATGTTTCTCCCAATTATATTTAATGTTAACAACATGTTTATTATTATTATTAATTATATCTTTTTTCTGCTTTCAATTAAGTTGATTAAGAAATACAAAGGAAAAGGAAAGATTCGATTTTGTATCATTGAAATTGGCATCGAATACCATTTTTTTTTCTCATACTGGCAAAATATGCAGAATTTATAAGAAAAAATTGCAGAGAAGCAATAGCATTGTGACGTTGATATTCATATTGCTGCAACTATAATTCTCTATGAACCATTGACATTTGTGCAAATTCCAATGCAATGGTAGCATGAACGAGTAAAATCACACAACACAATCCTCACGACAAACAAAAAATGCATTGAAATTCGAACAAATGTTTCGGAGTTTTCGTTAGGGGTTTCCTTAAAAAAAAAAATAAGTTGTGTTTCTTATGTCTATTTCGTAGATGAGTTTTGCTTTTTTACTATAAATGTAGCAGTGTTTGTGTGCAAATTTTCAATTAGCATTATAGAATACTAGTGTTTTTCGTTTAATTTTTATTTTTTTTTGCTAATTTTCTCCGGGCTCATTTAATTTTTTTTAATGTGCGTGTGGCATTTTTCTGTGAACATTTCGATTGATTAGACGGTGTAGGAGTTATTTTGTACGATTTTTAAATTATTATTTTTTCTCTTTTTTTTCGTCGAAATAAGTTCAAATCTATTTACTATTTTATTTCTAACAAATGATCCGATAACGATGAGAGAAGAAAAAAAAGAAACAAAACGAGAATAAAACTTGTTTGCGAGTGTATTCTGCACACGTAATTGTGATAAATGGCACCCATTAATAAGTCCCTGCACATTTTTGTGGTTATGTTTTTTTTAACAAGTGATTTTGCACACGCGCGCGACCAAAACAACAAACACATACACTCTTTTGATTTGAAATAGAATTCAATTTCGGACAAATCCTCTCAGAAAATAATTATTCGCAACCGAACCAATTCAATGGTTAATAAAACAATTTTAAAATCTTCCTCAAAATATAATTTAACGCTTAGATTTAGATCACCGATGCAAAGGGTTATTGAAACAATTACAATAATTTTTAATTTATATCAATTTCGAGCTAATTTTTGATCGCAAACACACATACACACACAAATTGAAAGTTAGTCAATAGGACGACGACGAACATATTTCACACCGTAGATTTTTGCGCTTCTCCTTTCACATAATTTTATGATTTCTTTTTCTATTTACACATATTCAATTTGCTTTGAAAAGGATATAAAAACACAAACACATTTTCATGTTTTAGCGCTTATCGAGTTAATACGTTCTTCTTTGTAACGAACAAAAGAAATTCCTTTGAGACATGTTTTTTTTATTTGGTTGTTCGAAGTGAAACGAGCCATAGAAAAACGTACCAATTTGACCATGAAAATGATATGTTTCGTTCAATTTTTTTTTGTTTTAACTAACTCAAGGATTTGTTCACCATTTATGTGCCTTAATCATCATTTAACTTTCGATTCAATTGCGGCAAAATCGATATTTTACGCACAAGAATCGCAGTTACATCCCAAATCGATTCCACCGAAGACGGTGATGTGTCATATCGCACGTTTTTGCCGCACTGAATGTCAACAATAACGATCGATATCAAACATAATAATATAAAGTAACATATTTATTGAAAAATTTAAAACTACAACAAAAAACAAATGTAAGAAATCAATTAAGTAGACGTTTAAGTTACATTTTAATTTCAGAGGTGGAGCGAAAAGAATACAACTGTTCGCATGCGACGGAATGCACATGCACACATATTGTTTTTTTTTTTGCGAATGATTTCCTCTTTAGCCCCCTCCCACAAAACAATAAAACATTTTTCATTTTTAAGGCAATTCAAATAATTTATAATATTATACATATATCGTGTGATGGCCCCTACCGAAACAAAATCAATGAGCAAGAAAAAAAATGCATTGAACAAAACGCTCAACAAACAAATGACCATGCACACGTTATTTTATCCAACTCTTAAACATATAATCGTCTTAATTTTTATTGTGGTTCCATACAAGTTTAAACTAAATCATCTTATTTGTGAATACAACGTAGGAAAAAAAGCCACATACAAGCGGCTGCTACACGAAAAAAAAAAACAAAAATTTGTTCAAAAAGTCAAAATTCTTCCATTTTCAATTTGAATGAAAAAACCAATTTAAAGAGAAATTTTTTTATATTATTTTAAAGAGAGAAAAAATCCATATTTTTGGAAAAATATTTTATTTTTGGAACGGCGTTGGCTTTACATAAACAAAAAATGAAAAGTGAAACCACATGCCAAAATCTTCAAGACAAAATCTAAGCAAATTATTAGACATTAGGCATCCTGATTCTTCCTGTTTCGTAAAAACACACCGACAACTGATTTATGGATTTTATTTTTTATTACTATTATCATTTTTTTCTTCTTTGTGTCGTAAACTCTAAACTTTACTTTGCTCTGCGGTTTTTTAATGCAAGATTAAAATGTAACAGAAAGCCAACACCAACAATAAATTAATTGAAAAAAAATGATTGAATAAAACAAATAAAAAACACACACACATTTAATCGAAAAAATTTCAAAGATTTTTTATGTTTAGTCTTAAATAATTTATTAATCGTCATTTTCAAATTTAGATACAAATTGCATTCAATTATATCAATAAACTTTTACAAAAAAATAAACCCGAGCGGGCTTTTATTTGCAAAAAGTTCTTTTTTCATTTTTTTTTTTTAGATTTTCAGGCTTTAATTATAAATTTTTGGACTTGAAAATTTCGGTGTTTTAAGAAGATTCTTTTGAAGATCTGCAGTTGTTCAAAAAAAGTGTACATCGTTTCCAGTTGTTGGAAAAAATATTCTTTGAAAAGGTAAGCTAGATTGGTTTGAGTAAAAAAAACTCTTTTAAAGGTATGAATTTCGGTTCAAAAGGTACATTTCACCGTAAAATTGCTATCCAATCTCTGAAAAAAGTCCAAAGATAGTCTTCTATGGTCAATTACTCCGACACAACTAGATGTAACTGAATGAATTGAAAATCTTTGGAAAAATATTCGCTAGATGGAGTCGCTTATCATTCGCCGATTGTGTACTCACGCTCACGACTTCTGTCAAATGTTTTTGCTCCGAAGACAATGCAAACAAACGAAGAAATATCTATACACAAGCAGGTCAAAAACAAAACATATCAACTTCCACCACTTGAACGTATCGAGTGATTCAAATTGGAAAATAGTTTTGATGTCAGTGTTTTCACGTTTGTCGCATCGACCAGTATCGAAGGGCTCGAGTGCGCGTGGTGAAAAGTGTGTATGTAGCTCAGAAAAAAAGCTGATTGTATCTTGGCATAAGAATGAGTTATATGGTTGCAATTTATGCGTAGGAATATATCAATGAAAGTGAACATTTTCAGTGGATAAAGTGAATCGTATCTTTTTTCGTAGTAAAATAGAGTGTTTTTTTTTAAATATTGTTAAGTTGACCTAAGAGAGTGTTTGTAGAAATTTGTGCTAAATAGAATACGAGTCGAGTTTCTTGTGTGTAAGAATGAGTGTGATTGGTAAAAAATTGAATCCAATTCAAGCGAGTGGTGGACACAGCGATGAGAATACCACCGCCAACACCACAACAACAACCAATAATCAACCATCAAAGATAACACCAGACGATGTTCTACGGCTGACAACGATTACAGATGATTACTTGTGTAGTTCAGGTTGAAAAATCTGTTTTTTTCTTCAATCAAGTAGAAAAGAACGCAAAAAAAAGAACGTGACAAAGAAATCAATAATGACAGGCATATCAAAATAATGACACAATACACGGTTCCTCTGACGCTCTATAAATATTTTCTGCCATTATCTACGTCTACCTCTTAATTACTCTTGAGTATACGAGCGGGCACAAAACCACGGAATGATGCGTTTGAACGTTCAAATTTGAACAATGGAAAAGACCACCACCATCACCACCACAAGCTCATTATTTCATGTTGCTTTTTAGTCATTCAGTCCAATGAGGTTCGTGCTGCGTTTTTTTCTCTTCACTCCGCTTTCTATCTAAATTATTCACCAAATGCTATTGATCCAGGTTCGTGTCTGATGATGTTTCAACGTTATGTTGCTATTATGGTGGTGGTTGAGTTGTTCATTTTCATTTTCAATACATATTACTCGCATCGAAATCGATTAGGTCAATGGAATTCAATTCTTGCGCAGAAATTAATTTTGAATTATTCCCCAGCTCAAATTCATAATATTTACCGAAGCAATTTCGTTTTTTTTTTCTTCTTTCCATTTCATTTGTACAATACGCACTTGCACTGCAATCTGTACATGTCTTGGCTGCGCTACTCGTGGGGATGTATGCAGATGCGAATATATTCGACATTGATTTTACGCGATTTAAAATACGTGACCTAGAAAGCGGTACGGTGTTGTTTGAAATTGCAAAACCGCCAAGTGAACAATTTCCCGAGGGCAGCGTCGATGAAAACACTGTCACCAAAGATGATGTGATAACAAATGCTGACGAAACCAATAATATCGATTCGAATGCGGGACGTTATGTACGATATCAATTCACGCCACAATTTCTAAAGTTGAAGACGGTCGGTGCGACGTAAGTGTGTCCTTTTTTCCGTTATCCATTTTGAGTGTGTGCGTGTGTCATGCAATTGTAACGGTGTATGTATATGCTTTTTCCAATAACCAATCATTTGTATGTTTTGTTTTTGTTTTCAGTGTGGAATTTACGGTTGGAATTAAGCCTGTGAAAAATTTTCGGATGATAGAGAGGCATTTTTTTCGTGATCGCTTGTTGAAAACATTCGATTTTGAGTTTGGCTACTGCATTCCACATTCCAAAAATACATGCGAACACGTTTACGAATTCCCCAGGCTATCTGACGATCTAGGTATGTGAATGCAGCCACCTCGAACTTGGCCTATTTCAACACCATTTTTCTTTTCGCTTTTATTTACGGCACACAACAATCCATTACTTATCCGAATAATTGAACATTAATGCTGATTTTTCACATATTTATCATTTCAGTGAGCGAAATGATTTCAAACCCATTTCAAACACGTAGCGATTCATTTTATTTCGTTGATGATTGTCTTGTGATGCACAACAAAGCCGACTATGCATATGACGGTGGATTGAATGCATAAGCCACTCATGTGGAGAGGAACCACAACAAAAGTATATCTTTTCTTTTTTGGCATGTAATTAACGAAAGTTCAATTATCAATTTGCGATCTGGAGCAGTTATTTGCACATCTTTAAATGTAAGAATTTGCAAAATCAAACTAAAAATAGTATCAAATGATGATGATGAAGGTGAAGGAGTTAGAAAAAAAATGTGCGAATGGAAAATTGTTATTATGCCGATGGATGACGCATTTTCATTATGGATACCCATTTAATCAGACAAAGGCATTTGATATCGTGGCTATTTAAGAAGTAATTTCATCGTGCGTGTGTCACACTAAAACTAAACAAGCCAGGAAAATTACGTCAACGCATTGACGATTGACCCAAAATATTTTCGAAAATTACTCTTTAAGTAGCTGTGATTAAATCAAAGAAATTGGTGAGCCCTCCAGAAATGGCAAACATTTGCGTCACCTCCGCATTCGTGTTGTATTTTAATCATCATCACCTATTTTGCCTTAATTAAATTCTTTGTTGAAAATATTGTGCAATAGTTTATGGGACAGATTCCAACGAAAATTGTGTAGGTGATTTATACAAGTATTTGAAGCTAGTTCTTTCTGTATGAACTATTAGTTAATTTTTTTGGAAAGGTATCAATTGAAAATTCTCGAAATTTGTATAGAGTAAAAGTTAGATGTTTTTGTTGTAAAAATTTCATTCCAGTCGATTTTTTGTTTTTTTTTCTCGTAAGTTTTTGTTTCACACGAGTTATATTTTTTAAGGTGATGCACAAATCTTAATTCTGGTCAATTGAGTTACAATTTAAATTTTAGTTAGAATTTGTTATCCCCCACCGATGTGTGTTAAAACTGTCCACAGTCCACGTAAATCTCTTGAGATGAGTTTCTCTTCAGCGATTTGGCTTTAGTTTAGAAATAAGAATGTTCGCGGATAGCCTAAGAAAGTGGTAGATAGAAATGGCGAGACAAAGTGAGAGAAAGAATGAGAAAAATGTAAAAGACAATTAACACACAGACACACACAATATGAATACCGTTGCCCAACAACAATACAAAATGCCAAAAATACACACCAACAACAACAACAAATTTTAATCGATCATTCTCGTATAAGATAAAGCGTTTATTTTAACAAATTGCAATAGCCACGTAATTGGAAATTAATAGATTGATAAATAAAAACAGTTCCTTGCTTGAAATTTGACTTCAAACGAAAGTGACATGCAAAGCACACAAGCCGCAAATAAATTATTCAGGTATACACGCCGTTAGTCATCGCTGAGAAATAGGCAGAATTTCCAATTGAAAAGCATTCCATGCAACAATACAGCTGCAACATACACCATATTCAAACGGAGTTCTCTTTTTAATTTTTAAATCATATAAAAGACACGTTTCATGTTTTACGAATTTACAGGAGTTTCAAAGAAACACAATTCTTTCAATCATTCAATTGTATTTATCAAATACTCAACAACAACAAACCAAGTGATTGTAATATAAACAAAACCAAAATGAAAAAAAAACCACTGCACTGCGGACAACAGGTTTAGCTGAAATCTAAATTGTACATGTAAAAATTATAGCGACATTCAATAAAAATGTATGTAAATTGAAATTCGAGCAATGGCATTTTCGTCCAATTAATTTCCCAGCAGCAACAATGGCGACGGCGGTGGCAAAAGCAGCAGCAGAGGCATTTTCATCAATTATTACCAGACTCAAACTGCATTGTATACACTATATCACAGTACATGGTAAATAATAATGGGATCGGACAGCTGCCACTCCCTAATGAGTGAAATGAAAATTAATGGGTGAGTCAGCAAAGTTTCTTTTTAAATTGCCGATGTTCCGAATCACTTAAGCGAAATGCGGAATTTTTACCATTCATATGAATATTTTGGATTGGAAGCCAGTTACCAAGAACGCCTGAGTAAATTTTTAAAGAAACAAAAATAAAAGCACCATTTTTTCATATCAATTTCTCGTTTTTCTTTAATGCTAGCAACTAAATATACATTTTCAGTACGTTTTTCGGTAACTTTATGGTGGTTTTGAACGTAATTTCTTCAAATAGTTGGTAATGGAGCCAAAGTGTCAAGTTGAGTTGATAAATTCAGTGACAAGTTTAACGAACTCATTCGGTGCTTCGACTTGGACTAAATGGCCGGTGTCCAGGAATTTTAAATCAGCCTGTGGAAAAATCTCACGGATACGCGTCAGCTCATCGGGCGCTCTATACAAAATAAAATCAGTAGATGTTGTTTTAGTAATTGAAATGTAGGTATTTTTATTCTTGCTCTTTTTATTTATTTATCACTTACGTCAAATAATCCGATTTCGATCCACCCACGAATAAAATAGGTGCCGTGTATTTATTGAGTGACAAACGTTGTTGTGGTCCAAGAAAACGCGATATATGCTTACTAAAGTTATCGTCAAGAGAATCCACATTACTTCTCCATTTTATGCTATTCGAGAAAAGAATCGAAAGTTATTTTAGTTGGAGCTATTTTTGAAATGTTGATAAATTTAATGAAATAACTTATTTTTCTTAATATTTTGTTCATGTTTTGATCTGAATAAGTGAAAATGCTTTGATAATTGGATATGATGAATAATCTCATAAATGTCACTTACGCCCCATTAACCGCTCGATATAAGTTCATAAGGATAAAACTTCGGGTAACTTTATCTGGAATGAATTCTTTGATTTGTTCATCGGCCATAATACGAGCTTGTGGCAAATCGATATCATTGGGTAAACTAACTCGACGCATCGCTGTAAATATTTCACCCATACTCTTTAGCGCTGGTGATGTGGTTACTGGCGAAACATCGACTATTATCGCTTTTTCAACTAAATGAGGCTGCAACAAAAAAAGTGAGAGTTATTCCAGTTATTCAATCAAAAAAAAAATTGACTCTTCTATAAAAACTCACATATTTGAGTGCAAAAACCATCATTGCACGCCCGCCCATGCTATGACCCAAAAAAACCGCTTTTGGTATCTTGTGTTCCGTACAAAATAAGTGGACATCTTCAGCGAGGTCCACATAACGATGATGAGGTGAATGTGGACTCTCTCCATGGTTCCTGGCATCTAAAGCAATAACCTGTTGTGGAAAAATTGATTCACTTCATTCACATTTGAAGAAAGAGCCCTTTGAAAGGATAAAAACATACCTTCCGTGTGGGTTTTGATTTTGAATGAATCGCCTTGCTGATACCGCGCCAATTTTGCTTTGATCCAAACAAACCTGAAATAAGAAAATTAATGTCAATCATAACAATCGAATTGGAAAAGCAATGAATTTCGCTAAAAAATCAATTTTTCAATTGAACCCGTGAGCATAAAAACGACTTATTAAACAATCGCCGAACGAAACGATACAAGAAAAAACTACCAAACAAAACACACGTTAAAAACGTAACACAGCAGGACGGTACCGTTCAAAACGAAACTCCGCTGTGCTACACATTACCGCTGTGGTACGTTTTGTTCGGTAGTTTTTTCTTGTATCGTTTTGTTCGGCGATTGTTTAATAAGTCGTTTTTATGCTCACGGGTTCAATTAAAGTCGACAGTCGACTTCCTTTTTCAATATGAAGAAAAATCCACTTACCGTGCATAATAATCACAGGCGGTGTCGTTGAATCGCTCGACAGATCCTCGTACGAATTGTATGACAATTGCAGTGGTACAACGGGTGAGTCGTCTTTCAGTGTGGTTTCATCGTTCTGTTTGCTGCCTTTATCCGTGGCAAAGCTACATCTTGTCAATCGGGCTGTCGATGCACCATTACTTCGAAGCACACATCCCAAATTAAAAACTTTCAACATAGCTATCCTTTAGTTCGATGTCAAATTGGTTATATAAAATCACTTTGAACGAGATGTTTTAACCCAGTTCACAATTCGCACATTTTGACACAAATGCCGAAATAAATAAATAAATCTTACTTATTGTCTACAATAAATTCTACTGCAATCGCATGAAGTTCCAGTAAAACTTCATTGACTTTGACGGAGACAACAAAAAGAGAGATAACGAAATTCGAATAAGACAGCACATAAACTCAATACCCTGCCAAAATCATGTGTTGAATTCTGACATTTCCAACAAATCGTCAGATTATAAACTCACCACATGCTATCTCGCTTCCACTCAATTGAGTGTATATATGACAGTTCGTATCGTATCGTGTCGTATCGTATCGCATGCTGTCACAACAAAATGCGGTTAAGTTAGACACAACAAACAGGCAAAACAATACAAGACTGAAAGAGAAACAAGCCATAAATTTAACGGTAAAACGAAACCGAGTCGGAATTTTGTGAGTTTGGTGCAGCGAGGAAAAAAAATCGAATTCAATATGTCGGACGAGCCGAGTAGTAAACGACGCAAAATGGACAACAAGAAATACTACAAAAATCAGAACAAGCCCAAGAATTTCTTGGAGCCGGGCATTCGCGGCTTTTTGGCAACATGCAATTTTCGTGAAAAGGATTGCGTTCGCGAATGCTACAATTTGCTGAACGAGTACGCTGATCAACAAGAACGCGACGCGGCCATTGAAAGTGAAAAACCACAGCCGAAAAATGTGATGAACGACAGCGGTACTGTCGGCGAAGACGAAGAAGAAGAAGAAGACATTTCGTCGATGTTGGAAAAGGAAATCCAAACGATCACCACCGACAAAAAGTTCGATCGCCATCGTTTTCAACAGGTTGAAACCAAGATTTCGAATTGCATTTTCATCAAAACAACGATCAAAGACCACAGTGAACTTGGTATACGCTTGGTGCGTGACATTGCTGAAACGAAGAATCAAAAGACACGCTACCTACAGCGTATTTGGCCAGTTGATGCAGGTAATGTTGGACACAGAACAAGAACAAAGTCGATTAAATATTTTTGCGATAGTAATTTTTTTGTCTCATTTTTCTCGTTATTTCAGTTTGCAAGGCAAACATTGGTGACATCATCACATCTGCCAGCAGATTGTTTGACAAAGTTTTCCTGAACACCGAGCCCACAACATTTTCGGTGATGGTCAACAAGCGACACAACAATACATTCGATCGTATGAAAACAATTCAAGAAATTGCCGAATTGATCGGTTTCAAGAGCCCAGCACACAAGGTTGACTTGAAAAATCCGAAAATCACGGTCGCCATTGAAATCATCAAAGGTTTGTGCTGCATCAGTCTGTTGCCTGATTACCAAAAATTGAAGAAGTACAACGTGTTCGAGCTGACGCAAACGAAGGAAGAAAAACCGGCTGACGACGCAAAGACGGGCGAAACACCAGCCGATGAGGAAAAGAATGATGATAAGTCGGCTGACGAGCCAGAGAAAGACGGAAAATCAACTGTTGAGCCAATTGAAGGGAAACAAGTGGCCGATGAGCCAAAAAAGGATGTTGTTTCGGCGCATGAATCAAAACCCAACGAAAGTGGTGACATGAGCCCAGACGAAGCAACCGCACCCGAAGCCAACGGCGAGCAATAATCGAAATACACTTTCTTCCTAATGGTTAGGCTACCATTTTGATTTAGCTTATTTCATAAGAATAAAAGATTTATTTCTACGTCTTTTTTACTTCAAAACCAAATCGAAATCGAGATTTGAATAAAACAATTTATTTCCATAATAAAAAGAACCGATTTCAATTTATTTTCCTTGCCATTGTACCGTTTGATAGCACAATTCATCCGTTTTCTTGTCTAGATAAGCAAAAGTGCAGAATTTTTTGACACTAACACTGAGCCGTGTTCGTGTGATGAAGGTTGGTATTGACATGGATTTAGCCTCATCTTCAGTGAGTATATGGATGATATGTGAAGCATGGAAATGAAATGGTTCTCCGGGATAGACAAGAAAATCACCGCCAAATGTGGCACCAAACGTTATCCAATGGCCTTTCTCCCATAGATCACAGAAAACACGATAATTGGCTGGTTCAACATTGGGCACTCTTTTGATTTCTTCGAAATCTTTTGGGAAAAGAACGTTTCAAATAAATGTATGGCTTATAATGGTTTTGGAAGCAGTAATACTCTTACCAATATCGAATGGTTCTTGAGTCGGCACTTGAATGTGTACAATATTCGGAGCTTCATTGATCGCCCGTGTTCGAACTTCTTCAAGGATTGTCTCTTCGGTCACCTCGTTTGGATCGCCACCAGTTTTGGCCACTTTTTTCCGTTTTCCCGCTAAAATCTTATCCATCTTCATTGTGGCATCTTCGATTCGTCGCGCCAAATACGCTCCTTGACCGTTTTTAAGGCAACCCTGTCCAAATTCCTCATATTGCTTTTCAAATTCTTCATTTGGCACATCGGCAAAGCTCTTTTTGCATAGTTGAACGATGCCCTTATCGATTAGCAACTGAGTTTCGTACGGTGAGTATATTGCCGGTAAACCTAAAATTGAGACATTTTCATAAGCTTGAATCGTGCAAAGAAAGTCTTGTGTACAAAAAATGTCTTCAATGCTCACCATTGAAGTTAGAATTTCGAGGCCAACGCACAGTGCTGCCAATTAATCGGCCGATGATTCGGTGTTCCACACGAATGGTCATGTAATCTAATGGGAAGAGAAACATTTTTGTGAGTGAAATGCAAGTGATGAAATTTCAAATATTCTGCATTTACCATCAGCATTGAAACAAAATGCCGTTTCACCAATCAAACTCAATTGTATTGGACTCGTGGCCATACTCGGAAATTGTTCTATTTTCAACTTGTAAATTAACAATTTTTGATATTGTTTTGACATCAGTTTAGCATGTTTGAAATGGCAAAACATAACCTCAATGCGGTGTATACCAAAATACGTACGATTTTGACATTCGAAACTGGATTACGATTTTGTCCGACAATCATCATGTCATACACACACACACACGCACGCACACCATGACATCGGTGCAAATCGGCATGATCGCCATGTTGAAAATGAAAGAATTGATTTTGTGTGAAATATCAACGCTTAGTAGCTCTCGGTTAGTACACACTCAGCGGTATACATCGATAGCATTGTCGTCGGCATTTCATTCACTGCATTCAGAAGCGAGAGCTATTTAGCAATAGAAAATTTTACACGAGAGTCATCGAGCAGCTCGAAAAAAATCCTTTTATTCGATATTCAATTGTATCGCGCGACGATTACAGATTACATTTGCTATCGATTTTCAATTTCGTTAAAACCGACTTGCATAAAAAATCTAAGGTAAGCATCAAATTCAAGGTTAACCCAAGTCGAATAAAACTAAAGTACAAACGAAAGAAAAGTTTTTTTTTTACAAAAAAGTGAATTTAAAAATAGTCGAAATGTAAAAACCAGTAAAACCAAAAGTAATAAAAAATTAAACGATAAAAGAAAAAAATTGTCGCCAGAAATACAGACAGACAGCACACTCCAATTTGAGTTGCGTTAGTTTGTTGTATCAAACGGAGAAGCGAACGACCGAAACAAAGATGGACGATTGTAAAGAAGAAATGAGTAGAAAAAAATTTTCTTTTGGTCGAGCAGCGTACGCGTCACGAGAAAGTATTCATTAAAATCGATCGATCCGAATGTGAATAAAAACTGCGTTTTACGCGAGAGTTCAGTTGTTCTAAAGTAAAATTGTTGGGTTAGTAAAAACCCATGTCAAAAAAGTTGTGAAATTAGTACGGAATGTGTATTTGTTAAAAGACAATTCATAGTTTGATTCAAGCGCAAAAAAAAGCGAAACAAATGGACCTCAAGTTTATACACAGCATACAACATTTTTGCATTGCTGTTGTTGTTATTGTTGTTGGTTTGAAAAGTACAGGCGGAGACGACACACACACACACACACACACTGAGAGAGTTCACGCAAAAACAGACAGTATACCATTTTTTGTGTTAAAATTTGTGCATTTTGATTAAGTTAATTATTTTTAACCCCCTTTTTTATGACGAATTTTTCTTCATTCCCAACAAGCGATCATTTCCAACCGATGAAGTAAACGAAAAACAAGATAAAATGGTTTTTCACTATGGCATTTCTCTTGGCCCAAAGCAGTAATGCCAAAGCCAATTGATTGCCTCATTTACTTGTGTCGCATCAAACACACACGCACACAAAATGTTATTTAAAACCAAAAAAAAATCAACAAACCCAATAAGTAACAAAATTTAAACGATATTTTCAGCATGTGCTGCCCCATATGAACTCATTGAGAAAAAAAAACGTTGAGAAAGTTTCATACAAACATACAAACATCCAAAAAATACGCGTTGTTTGTATGGCATTTAAACAGAAACAACAGAAAAATAAATTGATTGAAAAAAGTCAAACAGTTACATAAACAAGTGCCTTTCAGTTGATGTATATTAATGTTCTAGTTGGTTCCGAAATTAATGTTTGTTACATTTGTTGTCGAGTCAAGTCAAGTCAAGTCAAATCAAGTCGAGTCGAGTCAAATGTTTTATCGAAACGTTGTTCCACTCTCTATATAGTTCAGTAAAGTCAAAGTTTCAAATCAATTTTTTTTAACTAATTGCAAATAATCAAGTATATAATTAAGATGGTGAAAATTCTACTTCAAATTATAAATTATGTCGCAAAGGTAAGACACGGATTGATTCCATTAAAAAAAATCAATCAAACAAAAACAAATAATTGATAGTAATCAAACAGCTGCCAGAGTGTTTTTTCTAACAGAAATCGGATACAAATGATTTCTGTTAGCCGTTTTCGTCATCGTTTTCCCACTCATCCCTTTCCGTTCGATAAATAGGTATCACGCACAATCGAATACCGACGAAAATGGTGTATTATTTATTATGTTTGGTTCAATCTTGACCATAACCGGCCTTGATGCCTCACCAAATGTCTCAGAACGTCCATAGTTTTATTCGAAAGCAATGCGTTTTCTCTTCATTTTTCGTATCATTCCACATTATTGTTCAAAGCACCATTTTTGTCGGTATGGTGAGTATATCCTACCTATCAAAATGGACAGACAAAAAAAGGAAAATCGTTCAATTTCCATCATTGAATTTGTTCACAGGCGTTTAACGAATACCTTTTTTTACGTTGCAAACAGAAACACATCTACAATTGATTTTCATTTTAATTTCGTGTCCATTTCTAAACAAATTCTTTCACCCAATTGCAGACATCGAAGAAATGGATAGCGAAGACTCGCGACCCGGTTCGTCTGCGTCGAACTCATCTTCTTCATCAGTTGAATCGAATGAGAATGCTGGAAATGGTTCAGTGTCATCGTCGCGTAAGTCTCGATCCAAATCGATAAATTCCAATTCCAGTTCGGCATCATCGAGCCGTAATAATTCGCCCGAATCGCAAAATGCAGTGTTGAAAGAGCCACAATCGCCCGTTCAGGATTATGAACAAGATAATCAGGATTCACAGTCGCGTTCAGTGTCACGTGCATCGAATCGTTCGGATCTATCGAATAATTCAAGCGAAGGTAGAGCGAACGGATCTCGACGAGACAGTCGCTCGTCGGAACGTGATAATCAGGCTTATTCGCGCGATCAATCGGTTTCACCGACACGTGGTAGTGGTTCACGCAATTCAAGTGTATCAAGTGTACCGGTCAATACCGAACAGTCGAGAAACGATGCGATCAATATTAGCCACGAAGATTTGAGCGATGTGAGCGATTTGGAAAGCGCTGCCGCTTCACCCATCAACAATGACAAAGCTGATGTAAGCCCACAACTAAATTGCTTTTTTCCATGGGCATTTTTAATTCATGCAAATTGATTAATACAGGATAACGAAGATGAACCAGACAAAGGACCAGCCATCGTGGATCTTCGACAGAAAATCAACGAAAAGAAAAACCAACAGAAAGCGCTGGAGGATAGGCAAAGCGATCAAAATAACAAACAGAGCCCATCGATTGTGGATGAGCTCAATGATATTATGGACAAAAAGCACGACGAAGATGCTTTGGATTTTGAAGCTGAAGATGGTGAATGTGCTGACGAGAAGGAGGAAAAGCCATCGGAGACAAAAGAGCCGGAAAACAAATCGAAGAAAGACTCAGACGGCGAAATCGAGGTAAGAAATTGGCCAAAAAGCGACAGTTCAATCATGGAGTCTCAAGATTATGGTTTTAATTTGATATTTTTGCCTTAATTTTAGGAAGGAGAAGAGTTGGAAGAAGGTGAAGTGAGCGATGAAGATGAAAAACGTCCCGAGGAAACGGAACCAAAGCCAGTGTGTCGATTCTACACACGTGGACAATGTACGTGGGGCATGAGCTGTCGCTTCCTGCATCCTGGTGTGACCGACAAAGGCAATTACACAATGTTCGATATGATACGACCAGTTCCAGTGAATGCGCACGCTCCACCATATGGACCTGGTGGTGTCGTTTCATCTTATCATCATGATTTTCGCAATGAACGACCATCGATGCATTCAATGCACCTGGCCAATGCACCACCACAAGTACGCCCAATCGCTGAACCCGTCGTGGAAAGTGCATGGGAACGTGGACTACGCACAGCAAAAGAGATGATGCGAAAAGCAAACAAGCGCAAGGAACAAGACATGGATTTCGAAGATAAGAAAATGAATTTATCGGCATCGCAAGATGAACTCGAAAAGGACAATTATTACATTCGTGAGCGATCACCAGAACCATCTCCGCCACCACCATACAGCGGTCGGCCAATGGGTATGCATCATCCGCCTAAAGGAAATTACAGTCCACCGCAAAAGTTTGGTGGTCCAATGGCACGTGGCCCTGCTCCCGTTCCATACGAAGACGATCCATACAATCGTTCAATGAGATACAGAGAACTGCCAGCACATCGAATGCCCCAGTACGAAGATGAAATAATGGCGGGAAAACGACGTGTTCGACCAACGCGCGAAGTGATCGTTCAACGTGCCGAACCAGTGGGTCGTGGTGATGAATGGAACGATCCATGGATGCGATCGAAATCACCTGGGCGCGATCGTGAAAAGCGACAGAAACGCGAAAGACGAAGCTACAGCTCCAATTCTTCATACAGTACTTCAAGGTAATTTTTAATCAAATCGATGCTCAATGGGAAAAAAACAGAATATTCTTCTAAACACCACAGTTTTGTTACCGTTATTAACTTTCGAATTCTCTTTTTGCATCAACAGTAACAGTTCGTCTCAGTCTGGTACCAGTTCAAATTCCAGTCGATCACCATCGCCAAACCGACGTCGACGATACAGCAGCACACGTACGAGCGGTCACAAATCGCCAGCTCGTGGTCGTCATGTGAAGAATCGATCACCAACACCAGAAGTTCACAAAAGACGACATTCACCAGGTGAGCACACGCTTAAGTTACCCCATTTCTTGTTTAAATTAGCTATTGAAATACTAACTCATTCGATGACTAATCCATAACATTGTTAATCATTTATCAAGTTCAAATGCATCAAAATGTAAACAAAGAGCCTCATTTCGACGCTAAAAAAGACTTACGCAATCATCCTACTTTAAGCAAAAGAGCTAATCCAAATATAGGTATTTTACTGTTGCTATTCTGTTTTCTGTTCGTTTCCTATTTTTGCTTTCAACATTTTCTTATTGCTTCATTAGCTATATTTTTGCTGTTCATTAGTGTGTACTTTTGAGCCATTAACTTTGCTTTGACATTAATTTATTTGTGTATGTTCTTAACTTTTGTTTAATTTGAATCATCTGTTTGAAACATCGGCATTTTTTATATTGATTATTGTTTGATTTCACAGTTGTTAGGCGCTCACCACCTAAAAAACGTCAAACCACACCTCCAAGCGTGGAAAAACGTGTCACTCGTTCTCCAGTAAACAAACGAAAAAGGGTAAGCACCTTTTTTCTCGCCAGACATTGAAATCGTCAGTGTGATATTCTAATTATTTTGAATGTTTATTTTACCATCAGACATCACCACCACCGCCGCCACCACGAAAACCAATCTCGTTTTCCATCGCTTCAACCAATAATCTTCGGAAGAAGAAACGCTCAAGTTCATCTGGTTCAGGTGAGAAATAAAATGAATTTTCATTGGTGAAATGAAACCGTTTGAACATTTCAATTTCCTATTTCTAATTCTAAAATTGATAATCGCTAATTAATGCAAAAATTCTTCAATTCCAGAAAATTCATCGGATTCGAGTGCATCAGACTCTGGTTCATCGGAATCATCGAGCTCAAGCGAATCATCATCACGGAATGGACACAAACCTCGTTCACGCGATAAAGTGATCAGTGAACGGAAATTGGCTAGTAAAAAGGGTACGATAAAATGCACATTAATACCTAAATTCCTTACTAATCTTTGACTCGTCTTGACTAGTAGAAGCAGCCGCCAAGAAACGTTCGCCACCCGCACAATCCGGATCTGGTAAAGGTGGTGCAGATGCCGCTTCAAATAATTCAAGTAAATCAAATTCCTCGTCGTCCGGCGCAAATGCAAAGAAATCAACACGCCGAGAGGAGCTATTGAAACAGCTGCGAGCCGTCGAAGACGCGATTGCGCGAAAGCGTTCCAAATTATCTTGAACTGATGTCAGTGTACTACTCCACACAAATAGATTTATATTGTTTTAGTATTTAAGAAAGTTTACAAACAGTCAAAGAAGAAAAAAAAATCAACATAGCAACAGAATGACCATTTCCGTATCGATTATTACAAAGAAGAAGAAGAAGAAGAAATATTGAAGGTGAAAGAAAGTGGGCAGATGCAAAACGATTGCATTTGCCGTGAATTTAGGAAAACAGTGGAAACAAACAACTTAATTGTAAATTGAATTAAATTGAAATGACAGCGAAAAGTATTATATTTGCTTGAATTTGTTTTTATCATATTCTTATTTTCTGAGGTTACATTCTCTCTGACACCAAAACCATTACACACACACACACACACACACACACACACACACGCACACACACACATCAATCGTTTTCTCATGGAACGGAACAGCTCTATTGATTTTTCTTGACTTTAATTTTTGTATACAATTTATTCATACATCAGCTACCAATAAATTTGTTCACTATTCATTATCAAGCTAAAACCGGTTTGTTACTTTTTTTCATTGACAAGAATCTGAACGGAATAGAATGTGTATGATGATGGATAGAGCATGAAGGTAAGTGTCTTAAGCCAATTATTTCATAATGTTTCTTAAGTTTCATACGATCAATAACGCAACGTGAACACAGCAACATGCAAATAGCTTTCTTCGTAAACTCAGAGATGGGCCAAAAAGATACGGTTATTTCATTCGGTTTATTTTCTGAAATGAACAATTGCTATATTTATACTGTTCGAATGCAATAATTTCTTAGATAAGGCGATTTACAGTCGCAATAATTGAAGAGACAATCCATAGCTATACTTATAGCGTGGTTGTTAATTACTTAAACTATAATCCCAAGCTTATACAAAAAACAACCGAGTCACTTGCTTTTACGATAAAAGATGCAATATCATCATCACACTTCATCGATTCGTAGTGTCGTATCTAAATGGAGAAGTACACCAGCCTCAGACAACAAACACAATTCGATTACCTCTCTGTTCATTTACAAAACACAGTTTACTAACACCCCACTTCAGGTCATTTGCAAGACAATTGCTGATGAGAGAAAACAAAGAGAATGTTCCTTTTTATTTCAACACTTAATTGGAACTGTAAGCGCTTTTTTCCAGAGGTTGGTTGCAGAAATTTATTTATATAAATTTCAAATATCAAATAAATTTATCCGATAGTTTTCATGCGCTGTGTTGTTCTAACGCATTTGCAGTGCATAAACGAGACATCGGCTGTTGTATTGGCAGCCAGCTATTCATCGCTGGAATCAGATTTTTGATTTATTCATTTACCGTTATTTGTCAACAATTCTGCCACTGCGCACATAGTATATTTAGTCCATAAGAAATGTAAAATATTCGCCATTCAGTTTTACATTGCCAATACATTAGTTGTATGTAGAGATTTTCGTTTTGTTTATTAAAAAAAACCATATTTTCTTGACCAAATCCACAGAAAACTAGTCGTATTACAAAATTATCCAAAAGTGCAGTGAAAAAATCAATAATGCTTCTTTGTCCAACAGTAAACTGTTCTACTCCTCATCCGCATACGAACCTTTAAATTATAAAGTCCAATCGATAAAGAAATACTTGAAATGCGGCTGTTGTATTTCATGCTCCGCACATTGTATCGATTTCAGTCGCTATTCGTGTCGCGTCCACGGCAAACGTACTTTCAACGTCATTCAGCGTAATGAAACGTATGAATTGAATTACACGGGACTTTGTCACGATTTTTGAGTGGGGGAATTCGAAACAATCGTTTGATCGGTATGAAAAACTGAAATATATGTTTAAAATAGTCGAAAGTAATCCATTTCGCGCTATTGATTGAGATATGTTTTCAATTTTGCCACTTGTTTGATTTGTGTGTGTGCGACAGGTGCTAGTGAATGTACGTTTATCAAAAAGTTTTGATTAACAAAGTGTGCTCCATTCAATTTTATCGATTGTTGATAATAAAATTCTTCTCAAATTGGCTTAGCAACAATCAGCTGACGCTATTTTATTTGAAATGCATGTTATTAAACTGTTATAAAATGGTGTAAACTTTAGTTACGATGACGCCAACTGATTTGTTTGATTACATTATGATGCGCACCTGACTTCGGTTCAAAATATCTGCTATTCATCTGAATACACTTCAATTGAGAGGTCATTTTATGTAATTTTCTGATTGAGATTTTAATCATTCCAAAAAAAAATTCAAAACTTGTTTTTCCTTAAATGTATTTTTTTATCAGAGCTCATAGCTCATTCAAGCACCGGTTCGGACATAGAAATATTTACCTAGATGTTCTATACTGTATAAATATGCAAAGCATAGGCGCATACGGACGACCGTGGGACGGACGTATCACCAGAGCCATCGTTGTTTGCTGTATACTGTATTCATACACATACGCGTGCGTCTCACAATGCACGATCGCCCGTTGATACGTTTTTCGCACGGTCGTCCGTAAGCGTCTATGCTTTGCATATTTATCTTGCATATTTCTATATCCGAACCGATGCTCGAGCTCATTCATGGAAAATTTCATCATGGAAAAATAATTCGAAACTGATTGTTGGATATTTTAACAAGAAAAACATATTTGTGGCGAAATATAAATTGTGATAAAATAGAGTTCTATGAATTTTTTTTCGTCAGAAAAATAATCATCGACACCAGTTACACTTTCCAGAGAAATGAAATTTCAAAATTTTATTCAAAAGTGAGCATCTAGGGGCTTCACGCGATTTTGCAGAACGCAAATAACTCTGAAAAAATAAAAATAATAGTGAATCAAACCTTCAACCGAAAATTTGAACCACTTTTGAAGGTTTTTGGTGGATAACGATGAATATTGGAACATTTTTTGACGATACAATCTGCACAAATTTACTGGTATGCACGTCAATCTCAAATATCTATGTATATTTAATAATATTCATTAGACTGTAATGACAAAAAATGTTCCAATATTCACCGTTATCTACCAAAATCAATCAAATTTACGGTTGAAGGATTGATTCACTATTAATTTTATTTTTCATTCGTATACACGTAAATTTGACATATCTACGTATATTCAGTAATATTAATTTGTCGTTAACGATGAATATTGTTGAATATACATGGATATTTCGGATTTACATGCATACCATTGAATTTCTAAGTTATTACTTGATGCGTGCGGATATGAAAGATGAAAAAAATGATTTTTCCCCCTAGGTGAGCATTGCAAATTCATTGAACTCCGATGAACGACAAACGTAATGTTTTTTTTTTTCAAAATAAAGTTTTATTTTTCACTAGTAGAAAAAAGTTACGCTGTAGTTATTTGGACAGTGGTCTGACTAGGTTGAAATTGAACCGTTGTGACGAAAAAAAATCCCTTAGAATATTTTAGTTTTAAAATGCATTATAATTTCTTTGTCGCGAGTTCTCATTTCATTCACATATTTTCGGTTTATTGAGAGGAATTTAAAAACAGAAAATTTTGATAAGCCGGCAAAACTCTCGTGTGATGTACGTCACAATGGTGATTAAACAGAAAATAAAATTCTGCACATTTGCGCCGAGTCATTTTGACTCTTCAAAATTCGGATATCATGTTTATGCGTATTCATAGTTCCTAACTTATTTGTCAATGGTTTTTTGGTAATTGGAAATAATTCAAGTGTAAAGTAAATAAAGTGATTTCAAAATATAATGTAAACGTAAAAATGTTTCCGATAGCAAACTAGTTCAAATATGTGATTTTGAAAAAAAATTGAAAAATCTCAAACTTGAATCCAAGCGGATTTAACCCTCTAATGCATACAACCGCCTTTAGACGGGCAACATTTGAACGCCTGTATAACGTGAACCGTACGTTGGATCACATTGCTTCAAAAGGGATTTTTGTTCTTCAAGGTGTCCTCTATAATTTTGTTCTTTGCACTATTCGTCTCTATCAAGCGGTTGTCGTGTTGTAAACAAGAATGTGCGCAAAAACAAAAATTTGACAAAATAAATTATTCCCTTCTCAAATTAGACACCTTTTTGACACTTTTAAACAATGGATTTGATTGTTCTCTGATTTATGTCAATCGCATTTCCTGAATATTTTTTTAATTATATATGGCCAAAAATCAACCAAGTACCAGTACTCCCAGCCCCGGGGAAAAATTAATGCATTAGAGGGTTAATATCGAATGAAGAAAAAAAGGAATATTGAAATGATTTCTTCTTTCAAAAACTTCCATTTGATGACGATATGCAAGATTTTTCATGCAAGTCATGGTTGTTTTTATTTTTTAATGATCACGATCATTTATTATACATGTAAATGTACCGGCTATGAACCATTTGTGATAGTATAGTGCTGTGCGATAGTCATAGGTATAGAGATTGTGTTTAGCCAAAAGTTTACATTAGTCAATGTGCCACCTTTGCAACATACGTAACACAATACACGCTACGTCTTACATCGAAAATATGATGAATTGTTTGTTTAGCGTTTTTCTATCTCACTTTTTCTCATACATTGCGTACCTCATTATTTTGCTCAATTTGATCCAATGGTGCGCGAGTCTCTTCGATTTCTACGCATATGTGAACACGGAGATAAAAATAAATTATACTCACACACCAGCGCACATATGATTCGTACACATGTGTGTAGAAACAAATACAAATCGAGTGATGGTTTTCGGATGTTTGCGTGTATGTAACACAAACACCAGCAAAATAAATCATTATTCAAAGCATATCCAATTATATATTCAATAAAAGAAGTGCGATGTATCTGAACGTATATCAGTTTTGAGTTTGTCGGCGAACGTGCCGCTTGAGCTGACTGAAAAATGATACGATTATCTCATAAAGGCATTATAATACAAATTATACAATACAAGGTTTTTTATCTCTTCTACAGAGACTTGAAATCGTCATTGCAACAAGTGAAAACTGATTCGAATAAAATAATCAACGAAAAAATGACCCAAATACATTTCTGTGATAAATTTTAGCTTACCGTGCTTAGTTTTAGTGAGTAATGTGAAATTGGATAGTGGAATTTGCATTAACGTGAGCCGAACTATTCTAAAAATACGAACTAGACCTACGTTTCGTCGTCTAATTTTGGACAAAAACAAAATAAAAAGTGGGGAATTCACAGATTTCAAGCAGTAATAATAATAGTGAATGTGATCGAATTTTGAAAAAATAATAAATCTTTAAAACGAATTTGATAGTTAGTGCACAATAAATTGACTTGTGAAAATGGAGTCAACGCAACGAAAACTACCGCCAAATCCGCGTGAGAAGACGAATTTTCTATCTGTGTGTTTGTTCGCATGGACCATTCCATTGTTCAAAAAAGGCTATCGCAAAGTATTACAATTGGATGACATCTTTCAGCCGTTGAAAGATGATCGATCTGAATTGCTGGGTGACCGTTTGGAAGTGTAAGCAATTCTTTCTAGAAATTATAGAAAAAAACGTGACGTTTTATATGATATTGTGAAATTATTTTGTGCAATTAAACCGTTGTATTTCGACACAGCTCTCAATGACAAAATCCAAATCGTGATTAGATAAAAAAAAGGGAAATATAATAAATCTGAATGAGTGTTTGCAACAATGAAATACAACTCAAGGGATTCGGTGTGCCTCGTCGATAACAATGACTTTTCATTTTTTCTCAAATGACTTCGAAATTACAATGACTCGAACATCACACTGTCCTTGTTATCCGAAGTTTGTGGATGACAGAAAAAAAGAAAGTAGTTATCTAGAGATTTTACATTTTCAAGTGATAAACGCTTTGATTCGAATTCCATCATGAATCTCGTGCTCTTTGTTTCATAATGCGACCTAAATCTCGGTTATCTAGAGTCTATTCACGAAAATGATATCGTCTCGTGCAAACACAGAGATTTCTTCTACTTAGGAGAGAAGTACAAAACACAGTAGATCAAATTCCCTATGAAACACGGTAGAAAATCTGAAATATTGAGAAATTATTGATCGAAAAATGTGCGACACCAAAACATGAACATTTTTCAATTCAAAAACAATACTTCCTCATTCTACCACAAGTGTTGATTCCATTGACGCCTTTCAATTTTTTCTAAATGACAATAAACAGACACTATCCCAATGTACTATTCAATTTAAATGAATGCGATTGAATGATTTGTTGCTGCTGGAACAAATTGATTTAATTGCAAAGCACATTTAAATCAATTGTTATGATCGTTGAGTAAATGTGTGGTTTGCTTTGTCATTCATTCCCATAGAAATTGGAAAAAGCAACAAGCTAAATCGAAGCGACCGTCTCTGATAAAGGCATTGATTGCTACACTTTGGAGAGAATATGCACTTCTTAGTTTTGTCTGTACATTCAACGATATTGTATTGCGTTTGGGTCAGCCATTACTACTTGGGCAGCTGCTGCTTTATTTTCGGTAAGAAAACATATACACAATTCGTTTTTAATTATTCTTAGAATCCATGAATGATTTCATAACGTTTCGTTGTTGTTTAATATACAGTAAAGATTCAACGATGACATATGAGGATGCTCTAATGTACGCATGTGGAATTGTAATTTTAAACGCGCTCAATACCATATTGGTGAATCAATTTGTTATGATTGCCTTCCACAATGGCATGAAAGTTCGGGTGGCCGTATGCAGTTTGATTTATCGAAAAGTATGCTAATGTTGAAATTATCACAATTTATCATCTTTTTAATCGTGTGCGATTTTCTAAAATTGTTCATAGGCGTTGCGGTTGTCGCAAACCGCTCTAGGTGAAACAGCGCCCGGTAAAGTCGTAAATTTATTGTCAAATGATGTGAACCGTTTTGATTGGGTGACAGTTTTTTTGAATTCAATGTGGACAGCGCCTTTGCTAACTCTAATCGTTGGAGCTTTGCTGTGGGCCGAAATTGGCTATGCCGGAATGATCGGCATCGTAATCGTGTTCATTGTTGTGCCAATTCAAAGTGAGTAACGGTAAAAAGTGAACAAACATGTAAATGAAAATGTAAATTTTTATTTATGTTCAGGTTACACCGGTAAATTATCATCGATATACCGTTTGCAAACGGCTCTACGTACTGATGAACGTGTTCGATTCATGGACGAGGTTATATCCGGTGTTCAAGTGATAAAGGTATTCAATTTATTTTATTATCTACGTTAAATGAACAGATAATCAGGCTGTGAATGTTTGTCTAAATGAAGATGTACGCGTGGGAAAAACCATTCACCAAATTGATCAACTATGCACGTCAAATGGAATTGAAAATTGTGCGGAAAAGTTCATATGTTCGAGCATTGTACATGACGTTCATGCTGTTCACAACCAGGATGGCCATTTTTTGTACAATGTTAGCGATTACAGTGCTCTATGGATCCCATGAAATCACTGCCGCCAAAGTGTTTGTAATCTCGTCATACTTCGGAATCATTGCACACACAATGTCACAAATGTTTGTTAGAGGCGTTGCTGAAATTGCCGAGGTACTTGTGGCGCTGAAACGATTACAGAATTTCTTAGAATTGGACGAGAAGAAAACGCAAAGCATTTGTGCGGAGAAAAACGGACGTAATGGACATGTTGGCGAAAAAGTCGAAGTAAGTGCCAAGTCTCTACTGGAAACAATTTTGTTTTCTTTAAATTTTATTCATTTGGAATCGAATAAATTGCATTATTTACTGGGCAATTTCTTTACAGTTCGAAAAAATCTTTGAAGTTGAAGCTGATCATGTGGCCCCGAATAATGTGTCTGTATCGATTAAAAATGGCACTGCCAGTTGGACAATGCCAGCAGTTGCGAACCCATTACAAAAAGGAACTTCAAAACTGCATAAAGTCGCCCCACAAGCTAGTGATCTAGCGCCATGGAAACCGCCCACTCTTACCAATATAAACGTCGATTTTCCAGAAGGAAAACTCATTGGGATAATCGGTCAAGTTGGTGCCGGAAAAAGTTCATTTTTGCAGGCATTATTACGGGAATTGCCTTTAGAGACCGGTTCGATTAGTATAAACGGATCCATTTCATATGCAAGCCAAGAGCCATGGGTATTTGCTGGATCAGTTCGACAGAATATTCTGTTCGGACAGGATTATGATCGTGATCGATACGATGCCGTTATTAAAACATGTGCCCTGGTCAAGGATTTTGAGCAATTTGAAAATGGAGATCGAACAATTGTGGGAGATAGGGGAGCAAGTCTTAGTGGTGGTCAAAAAGCTCGTTTGAAGTAAGAATTTTTTGAATTTGATAACCTGATAAAAATGTATAAACATTTTAATTGAATTTTTGTATTTTTTTAGTTTGGCACGCTCTTGTTATCGAAAAGCCGACATTTACTTGATGGATGATCCTCTAAGTGCTGTTGACGCCCACGTCGGAACTCATATTTTCAACAAGTGTATTGGACCAAAAGGACGCCTAGCAAGATTAAATGCCACTCGAATTTTGGTTACACATCAAGTGCATTTCCTCAAAGAAGCCGATTGGCTCGTCATTTTAAAAGATGTAAATATTCTGAGATATTATTCGTATAGTACAGAACGAAATTTGATCCAAACCCATTATGCTATTCAACAGGGACAAATCGAAGTGCAAGGGACGCCAGCTGATTTAGCTAAGAGTGGTGTTGATTTCGCTAAGCTTGTTGGAACAAATGAAACTGATATTGAGGAAAATCCCGACAAATTCGGACGCCAAATGTCGCGGAAATCATCAACACGGTCAGCTTCATCAAGTTCATTGAATGGCAGCACAGATGGTTCTGAAATTGATGAAGAAGAAGATGAAGGGCAAACCCAAGGTTTCGAACTAGAAGCGAGTTCAAAAGGCAAAGTGCACGGATCGATTGCTGGCAATTATTTCAAAGCCGGTGCACATTGGTCAATTTTGTTTTTGTTGGGCATTTCGTTTTTAATTGTACAATTCCTGGCTAGTGCTGCTGATTATTGGGTGGCAATTTGGTAAGTATGCGACAAAGAACACTTTGCTTGGAATTTTTCAAAGATTCCCGTTCAAATAATGTGAAAATTTGAAATTGTAGGACAAGACAAGAAGAAATGCGTGTCTATCAACGAGAGCATAACTCAACACAATCGAATGAATTTGATGTTTCTGACAACACAGTCACCACTCCTCCAGATACTGCAGATCTATCATATACTTTGACCACCGAAATTTGTATCTACGTGCATGGCGCTATAATGGCAGCCTTGTTCTTGTTCGCCATCACCAGATCGATCAGTTTCTATTCAATATGTGTACGAGCTTCACAAAATCTTCATAATGCAATGTTCAACGGTCTCATTTCAACTACGATGCGATTCTTCGATACAAATCCATCGGGGCGAATCTTGAATCGATTTTCCAAAGACATTGGGTGAGTGCTGAGTTATGGTAGCTCATTTTGTGCTTGAACCAAATTGTTTATTTGAATTCCGTTACAGTGCAACCGATGAATTTCTGCCAAAAGCAATGCTTGACGCCACGCAGGTGATCCTGGCAATGTTTGGTTCAATAATCGTTGCGGCTACAGTCAACATATACTTCCTGGTTCCGGTATTTGTCATGGGATTCGTGTTCATATTTATTCGAAAGATTTATTTAAAAACATCGAAAAATATCAAACGATTGGAGGGAATTGGTAAGTAAAGACATAGAGCATGGTTAGAGCATTTTTCCATTGTATGTAATGTATTCGGTAATTTTTCATCAAATGTTCCAAATCAATATATTGTTTGTTTTCCCTTTTTCCAGCTAAATCTCCAGTATTTACCCACTTGGCTGCTACTCTATCCGGACTGTCCACAGTTCGAGCGTATAATGCCGAACAGATTCTCAAACAGGAATTTGATAATCATCAAAACACGCACTCGGCTTGCTGGTACATGTTTGCGGCTACAAGCTCCGCCTTCGGCCTGAGCTTGGATTTCATGTGTTTGATCTTCATTTCATGCATTATATTCTATTACATGCTGTATGATACAAATATATCAGGCGCTGAGATTGGTTTGGCTATTACACAAGCCATGTCATTGACGGGCATGATGCAATGGGGTACGTTTGATAGTTCAATGAACTTGTTATTAAGCAAAACAAATGAATGTGAATGAGTTCTCTTAAATATAATTTCTGAATTCAACAGGTATTCGTCAAAGTGCCGAAATTAGCAATCAATTGATGTCCGTTGAACGTGTGCTTGAGTATCGTGACTTGGAACCGGAGAAACAGCCAAAGAAACCACGTCAAATTGCTGATGATTTTCCATCGAGAGGATATATCGAATTTAGAAATGTATTCTACAGATATTTTGCCGAGGCTGAACCAGTCTTGAGGGGCTTATCATTTGTGATTAATCCGAGAGAAAAAATCGGTATCGTTGGAAGAACTGGCGCTGGCAAAAGTTCATTGATCGGTGCCATTTTCCGTTTGGCGTGCATTGAAGGTGAAGTTCTTATCGATGATGTCGACACTTCCACACTCCTTTTGAAAGATTTACGCAAACGAGTCGCAATCATTCCACAAGATCCAGTTCTATTCTCGGGCACTTTGAGAAGGTATTAAAACTTATCACATTTTTTCGTACTGTTGAACATTAATCACGTTTTATTATGCATTTCCAGAAATTTGGATCCATTTGAAGAGTATCCAGACGATGACATTTGGAGTGCTCTAGAGAAGGTTGAGTTGAAAGACGTTGCATCAGGTCCGTTGGGCTTGCACTCGGCAGTGATGGCGCACGGTTCCAATTATTCGGTTGGTCAACGTCAGCTTCTCTGCTTGGCTCGGGCCATTTTACGGAAAAATCGCATTCTTGTATTGGATGAAGCTACAGCGAACGTCGATCCACAGTAAGTCGAAGGATTTAATTGAAATATATGTTCTAATTTGTAATATCCCACATTCAAACCACATTTATCTATCCTCCACAGAACGGATCTATTGATTCAACAAACGATTCGCGAGAAATTCGCCGAATGCACGGTTTTGACGGTTGCCCATCGATTGCACACAATTATTGATTCAGATCGAGTATTAGTTATGGACACGGGATACGCAGCTGAATTTGATGAGCCACACAAATTATTACAAAATCAAACGGGTATTTTCTACGGTATGGTTAAAGCACTCGGACCACAAGAGTTCAATCGTTTATCGAAGGTGGCACGAGAAAAATTTTATCAAGTACGCAGCACTGATATCGAAGAGATTCGCCTCTGAAAATAATGACGAGGCCGAAAAAAGCTGACAATACGCTTCAAGCCCGCACAAAACGTTCCTCCAGCTTTAATCATTGGAATAGAAATAAATATTCATCTAAATCCATATTTTCATTCCGCTGCATCGAGATCATCATGATTTTTTTTTCACGATCTGTTTTTTAGATAGAAGAGTAGATAATTCAGGAAATTGTGTTACCAAATACTTATTTACATGTTATGAGAACTATTTTAATAAATATGCAAGTAAAAAAGGATTATCAATATCAAGATATTGATGAAAAAAGAAAAAAAAGATCAAATTGTTTCAATGCAACGCACACAGAACAACACGATTATAATCAAGAAAGTAGACTCTCTGCAGCGCCGTCGATTAGTGACGGCGAAATCATCTGTAAATAGCTGGAAGTGATTTCGACAAATTGCGAAATACTGCATAATAACACCGATTAGTACTGAATTTTGTCGTCATAGATCGACGGCGCTGCAGAATGTCTTGACACCAATTTTCTATGAGATGATAAGCGTGTGCACAGAACTACTTACGACCATTTTCTTTCTCTTCTTTATATAGTGATGACGGTTCTATACCATCATTTTCAAACTTTGCAATCAAAATGGAACCTTTAATCTATTCCGATTGTCGTTCTTACTGGTGGGCATGGTAGTCTAGATGGGATAAATTACACCACAAATTGGCTCGGTAGTACAGTTAGGGATCCCACACTTCGTGTGAAACTTTTTTCAATATGATGATTTTGCTGATGTGAAGAGTGTTAATGTGATCGACATTCATAAGATAAGCTTGAATAAGCTATCGAATTACATCACCGGTGATTGTCACGTTGTTATAAACTTCTGCTTTGGACGCAATGATGTTTTGCTAGAACAATTGCTTAAATTGGATCCAGTCCCATCTCATCTGCTATACGGCTAAGAGTTTCGTGAACCTCTAATCTATACAGATTGAAAGACCATATCTGTTTATTTCTTCCGCGCTGGAATTCTAAGTCATTCCACCAAAATCGTTCGGAATAATTTTTTTCGTACATAAGACCATATTGGAGTGAAAGAGAGAGATTCCACTAATTTTCTGGATACCACCGGAATTATTCCGATAACTATCACTGTTCCTTGAAAATCTTAATAATTCCGGTGGGATCCAGAAAATTAGTGGAATCTCTCTCTTTCACTCCAATATAGTCAGTCTTACGTACAAAAAAAACAATTCCGCACGATTTTGGTGGAATGTCTTAGAATTCCAGCCCCGTTGAGAATTTGTTTCGATTTTCGGTTTAAAAATGTTGTTTGGTCTTCTTTGCGGAATGCATTGGTCTGACATAGAAATTGTTTTTGCTTTCAAGTAGATAAAATTTAAAAGCAATATAAAATACTAATGAATGATCAACAAAATTCGCATTGTTTCCACTGAACAATATACATTCCAAAACGTATAAACATTGTTTTATTGTAACGTCGTGTTGGATTTTTATGAAAATAAAAATATGCTGCATTCCAACTATTTGTTAATCGTTTTTTTTATTGTTTGGGGAATTCCAATGAGAAAATTAACTTCCGAGAATATGACTATATAAGAAGCCTGTCTTACGCATTTGCAATCAACAGTATTTCTTTTGTCACCATACGAAATCGTGAAAAATGTTCAAGTTTCTTGTAAAGTTTTGTGTTTGCGTTTCGATAGCGTGCCATTCTGCTTTCATCTTGCCAAACATCAATAGTTTTGATGTCCAAGATGTCATCAAAAGTAAATTTGATGTGAATTTGAACCAATTGCGGAAAGATTATCTTGACAAAATCAACGAACTTAAGGAAGAAGCTACTAATTGTACGATTAGTGGCACTCATTTTAACATCACCGAAAAAATTGAGGTAACTATTTCAAATGCAAGGAAAAATCTCTATTAGATTTTTATTTTTCAAATTCAAGAACATAAAATTTATTTCATTTTCAAATATTTTTCAACTTTTTTCTTGAAATGTTTTGTTTGAACACAGAATCTGAACAAAGCGTTCCACAACCAAGCTAAAGAAATGAAAGATTTGCACAAACAATCTGTGGGAATGTTCGACCGGCGCTTTCACATAAAATGTGTCGATTGTATCACCGACTATTTCGAAGAAATGTTCGCTAATTTTTGTGGCTCCATGGATGATTCGGAAGATCAAGGTAAAAAGCAAACTTTTCATCAAAGTAGTTTATTTTCGATGGAGTCAAACTTATTCAAATATTTTAAATAATGGAAGTACGATTAATGCATGGAACATGATCAATAATATTGATTTACAGATACAAGTGCTACAACATTGGCGCCACCGAAAGGAACATCGCTGCATCCGACTGTACCATCGGAAGCATCGCATCATTCGAACTCAACCAATTCGAGTCAAGCACCAGTTGTTTCTGATATTCCAAATGAATTTCACCCAACGGCTAACGTCACCATACCATTACGCCCATGAACTCTAACCCAAATCATTGAATGTCCATTCTTCTTTCTATTCACTTCAATACTTTATTCTGCACACACAAAAGCCAATAAATAATTTTCCTGGGAAAAACCCAAAATGTAGTTCATTGAATTTCTCGAAAATAAAAACAAATTTTATGTTTTTACACTGAAAATGCACATTTGCTTGAAAAATGAATGCGATTACGTTATGATAGTGTTCAATATATTCTGGAACAATACGCAAAATGGTCATAAATTCTGCGAATGAACAATGAACAAAAGGCTATTAAAAAGAATTTAGGTCATTTGATTTGGTTTAAAAGAATTCGAAAATGCGTTCGACGGAATAGAATCAACCAAATCGTTGACTAGTTTGTAAATCCAAAAGCTGCAAGTGAATACAATTGTGATGTCTAAAGCAATGTTCTATTGTACACGGTTTATTTGCATTCTGTTGTTGGTCAATTCGCTTCAGATGAATTGTTATCCGATCGATCAGAATGGAGAAAGTGATTCAAGTGCAAGCAAAATAAGTTTCTTGAAAGAATCCGTTCAACTTCCGTCTGGAGTAAGCGACAAAGACCTGATAAGTATTCGAAGCACACTGAAAAATTTCGAAAGCCAAATGTATCAACTGAAAGAAGAAGCTGTGGACTGTACCGTACTGTTTTGTTCAGGCATTAATAATCAATTGAAGGTAATTCAAAAATTATTGGTAGCAAATGCGCACATTAATAGTCTAAATTTTTGTAATTTTTCAGCAAACGAAAGATAATTTTGATAAGGAACTGAATAATCTCAAATTACGGACAAATTTTTCAGAGAGACTTCCTACTAATAAAAATCGCTTATTTTTTAATCGAGTATTTCAAATCTTTAAAGACTATGCTCTGCAAATCAGTTTCAATTTCAATGGTAATTACTAAAGCTTGAGAGGATTTTATTGGAGAATTCAAAACTTTTGAATTTGTTTTTTTAATTTTAGTGGGACCAGTGACAACACCAACACCACCACCAACAGAAACAACAAAATCACCACCAACTGGAGCAACAAAACCACCATCAACAACTGAAGAAACAAAACCACCATCACCAACTGAAGAAACAAGACCACCATCACCAACAGAAGCAACAACAACACCACCACCACCACCAGAAGCAACAACAACAGACATGGGGTCGGGTAAATAAAAACAGGACACAAATCAACGAGTAAATGGTTGAATTTTAGTTGTATGCTTTATGCTGCTCCTTTCTATCACAGGAATGAAAATAAATTCCATATAAAAAATATCATTGTGTATCCAAAGAGATAAATTAATTCAAATTCTGCATAGAGAAAACAGAGATGGTTCTTACGTAACGAAATGTAAAACTCCAACATATGATGAGTTTTTCACAGCAAACGTTTATTTCATTTGAAAACTAGACAACGTATTCAAATTGGTGTACAATTTGACATATAGTTAAAGTCAATATGAAAGAAAAATGTTTGTTGCGAAAAACTCATCACTATTTGGAATTTGACATTTTGTTTCATTAAAACTATCTCAGTTAATTTTTTGTATTATTTTTTATTGTAAATCTTACAGCACATTTTGAATTTCTTGAATAAATTTAATGAAGATTTTTTTTTTGTTTCATTTAATAACATTGTTACAAGACATTTTCTGTGCCAATTATTGCAGTTTTGGTTGGGTTAGTTGCAACAAAACGTTCAATTCATAAGTAATTATTAAAATATACCCGCCAATGTGAGCATATCTTTGAATCATTTTTTCCGTCGATTGTTCATATTTAAAACAATGAAAAAAGATTCTGAAGATGTATTTATACATCTTCTCAAATAAAATATACGTTAAATCTGAAGCGAATTCCTATTTTGACACTGAAATTGTTCAAATTCAAAATAAAAATAAAATTTTATTAAAAGTATATGCTTCTCCACGTTAAATACATCTAAATCATCCATTTATAACGAAGCCGTGTTGATTCTATAAAAGTTAGATATATACTGGAACTTAAATGTTCTACAATGGTTTTCATTGAATATTTTTTCGTGATTTGGAAATCCAATTGGGAAAAATATGAACAACAGTTATTATTAGTTTCTTGAAGTGTATTCAACTACGCAAATATTTTTCTTTTCTTTGCAATATTTCATGATTTGTTATCGCTGAGAATTTAGTTCAAACATCGTTGAACCATTTGCGCAAATTGTCCTTGGAGAAAGTTTTGCATTGTATGCATTACATAGTATGCAATTCATGGCAAATAACGAAATTTGAACATCAAATGGGTGCATAATTTTACACGTTGGGCTTACATTTTACGAAATCCAAACTTATCGCATAGCAATGCAACAATATTGGCGGAAATGTTGGGAAAATGGCCTAATTCAAATTCAACCTAAAGCCATGCGTACATTTGTATATGATATTTCGCACGCAATATATCACCACAAAATTCCAATGGACTGTGACATATTGATTCATTCACTCCAAAAGCTTATGTTACGATTGAACAATGCACAAATGACAGTTACAAAGAAAGTTGGCCTGAAATTGTTCGGTTTAAAAAAAGGTGAAAATGCGTTTGACGGAATAGAATAATTCAAATCGTTGACTGTAGGAAGTTCTTTAATCAATCATTGTAAGCAAATAAAATCGCCATGACTAGAATACTGATTCATTGTGTGCGGTTCCTCTTTGTGTTTTTGTTGACCAGTTCACTCAAGATGAATTGTTATCCGATTGATCGTGGTTAAAAAGGTGATTTGAATGTGAGTAGAGTAAGTTTTTTGAAAGAGTCCGTTCAATTTCTACCTGAAGTCAGTGACGAAGACATGATCAGTATTCGTAATACACTAAAAAAATACGAACATCAAATATCTTAACTAGAAGATGATGCCAGATATTGTAATATCGCGAAACGATTCAACTGTTTAACCATTTCTATTGGTGAGATTGAGAGTAGTGTATGTTTTTTTTCGGATTTATATTTTCAAAAATTCGAGTAGGGTAATGGTTTGTAAGTTGACCACCCCATAGTATTTCGTATTTCTGACGGTAGAAACGTCAGAGTTTGAACTATCAACGTCATTAAAACAGCAGACTTCAATTTTAGTGTGGTTTACGAGTGAAAAGACGCATCGTGTATTAGTCATACGAACACCGTATATTTCCTTGGATAAAATGATTAAACTTCGTTTCATGGTGATGCTGTACAATAAGCAGAGCTCGATTAAGTTTTCTCTTTAATGCTAACAATTATGTACTCCTGATACTCTTCGTCGAAAGAACTGGGTAGCGGACATAAGTTCCCAAACGGACCAGTCCGTGGTCCGTGGTCCGTCGGTCCGCGGACCGACATTAAGTTTCCACGGACCGACGGACCGGACTCACGGACCGACGGACCGGACTCACAGACCGACGGACCGGACTCACAGACCGACGGACCGGATTCACGGACCGACGGACCGGACTCACGGACCGACGGACCG